TGTATATATATATATGTATGTGTATATATATATATGTATGTGTATATGTATGTGTATATGTATATATGTATGTGTGTATATATATATGTATGTGTATATATATATATGTATGTGTATATGTATATATGTATGTGTGTATATATGTATGTATGTATATATGTATATATGTATGTATGTATATATATGTATGTATGACCTCAGTCAGGTCCCTGACTGAGGTCAAACTTTTAATGTTTGAGGATTCTTTTTATTATTTCACTCTGAAATTATCATCATTTCAACATTTAAGCAATTTAAATATTTAAACATTTCACATTTAAACAATTTAAATAATTTAAACAATTAAACATTTAAACAATTAAACATTTAAACCGTTTTTACCGATGAATAAATAAAGAATTTTTGTTATTGATCATCAACAGCTTCATCGCCATCATCATCATCATCATCATCATCATTGTCAGTGAGTACTTCCTGTTTAATGAAGTTCATCAGATTATTGTTGTCTTCTCTTTTATATGTCTAAAGGACAGAAACACCTGAACTCACCTGTCTGTCAGACTAATAAAGTTTTATTGAATTGAACAGCTGACTATGAGGGCACTGAAGTGCTTTTCTCATCTGGCCTCCTCCTCTCAGGTGTGGGTGGAGCCTCGGAGCTGGCCTTCCTCAAAGAGCCCAGTGATGTCATTGCGGTGAGGGACCGCCCCCTGACACTGGACTGTCAGGTGGAGGGGGAGGGGCCGATCTCCATCACATGGAGACGAAATGGCGTCCCCGTGGCGACTGGCGTTGGGGCGGCTTTGCTCGGCAACGGAACGCTGCTCATCAAAAACTTCTCAAAGAGACGAGAAAGTAACGAGACGGACGCCGGAGAATACGACTGTGCTGCTCAGAACCACTACGGCAGGTTGATCAGCCGCAAGGCCCGGGTCCAGCTCGCATGTGAGTCACAAGACCTCTACGGACCGGAACATATCAATCTATAACATGTCAATAACATGTCAATGACATGTCAATGACATGTCAATAACATAATTATATGTCAATAACATGTTAATAACATGTCAATGACATATCAATAACATAATAACGACATGTTAATAACATACTAATAACATTAACTGTCTCCCCCTACTCCCCACAGCCCTCCCTAAATTCATGTCTCACCCAGAGTCTGTGGCAGTGGATGAAGGGGGCGTGGCCAGACTCACCTGTCAGGTAAATGGAATCCCAGAAGCCAACATCACCTGGCAGAGAGACCGACGCCCACTGAGCACCAAGCACCCCAGGTAGGTTTTTACATGTATTAATATATACTCAAGGTGTAAGTAACATTACTTTATGTATATTTTAAATGTACTTCATGTATATTTTATGTGTATTTCAGGTACACTCTGCTGCCTAACGGCGTGCTGCAGATCACCGGCGTTCGAAGAACAGACAGCGGTTTGTTTCGCTGCATCGCCTCAAACATCGCCAACACTCGATACAGCCACGAGGCCCAGCTGTCTGTCACCAGTAAGACCAGACTGAGGACAAAGAAATACAAACTAAAAGACCACACTGGGGGCAAAGAAATACAAACTAAAATACCAGACTGAGGGCAAAGAAAGACAAACTAAAAGACCAAACTGAGGGCAAAGATAGACCAAACTAAAAGACCAGACTGAGGGCAAAGAAATACAACCTAAAAGACCAAACTGAGGGTAAAGATAGACCAATCTGAAGGCAAAGAAAGACAAACTAAAATACCAGACTGAGGGCAAAGAAAGACAAACTAAAATACCAAACTGGGGGCAAAGAAAGACAAACTAAAATACCAAACTGAGGGAAAATAAAGACAAACTAAAAGACCAAACTGAGGGAAAATAAAGACAAACTAAAAGACCAAACTGAGGCCAAGGAAAGACAAACTAAAAGACCAAACTGAGTGCAAAGAAAAACAAACTAAAAGACCAAACCCAGGGCAAAGAAAGACAAACTAAAAGACCAAACAGGGAAAAGAAAGACAAACTAAAAGACCAAACCCAGGGCAAAGAAAGACAAACTAAAAGACCAAACAGGGAAAAGAAAGACAAACTAAAAGACCAAACTCAGGGCAAAGAAAGACAAACTAAAAGACCAAACTCAGGGCAAAGAAAGACAAACTAAAAGACCAAACTCAGGGCAAAGAGAGACAATTTAAAAGACCAAACTTAGGGCAAATAAAGACAAACTAACAGACCAAACTGAGGGCACAGAAACCCCTCTCTCACCTCGATGTTTTATGGTTCCGGTCCAGTTGCAGGATTCAGGATCTACCGAGAACCCGTCATCCTGTCCGGTCCTCAGAACCTCACCATCAACCTCCACCAGACGGCCATCTTGGAATGCATCGCCACAGGAAACCCCCGGCCCATCGTGTCCTGGAGTCGCCTTGGTAACCAGAACACACTAAACACCCGACAGTTATTGATCTGTTATTGTTATTATTCAGGTAACCATGGTAACACGATGCCGTGTGTGTGTGTGTGTGTGTGTGTGTGTGTGTGTGTGTGTGTGTGTGTGTGTGTGAGACAGACGGACGCTCCATCGGGGTTGAGGGGATCCAGGTGTTGGGAACCGGTAACCTGATGATCTCTGACGCCACGTTGAAGCATTCTGGAGTTTATGTTTGTTCAGCGAACAGACCAGGAAGTAGATCCAGAAGAACGGCCGTGGGACGCCTCGTAGTACAAGGTACCTCATAATACTACAGAATACTTTATGATACCTCATAATACCTCATAATTCTTTATAATAGTTAATAATACTTCATGATACTTAATTTACATGTTGTGTTTTCATGAAACATGATTGTATAATATTTAATATTAAATATCTTCATCACATGACGATCAGCTCACTCACTGAGCTCTTATTGTGGAAACATTTCCTGTTTAACAGTAGCTCAGTATGACTGATGAACTTGAACTCATCGTGTCGAGTGTGTAAACACACATGAAGTGTGTGTGTTTGTGTGTGTCATTAGGCTCAGTTTGCTGCTCTTCACCCCCCCAACCTCTGACCTCTGACCTCCTCAGTAGACTAGATGAGAGGAGGAGGAGTCAGGAGACAAAGAGACTCAGTGAAGCTTCATGATGTGAAAACGCTACTGATAGAGAGAAGAAGAATAACAACAATATTAATAATAATAATAATAATAACAAGAAGAAGAACATTAATTATAATAAGAACATTATTAATAATAATAAGAACATTAATAATAAGAATAATAATAAAATATTTTGAATCGTCTCTTTGTTCTCGGCTCATAAAATAGAAACAAACATTCTGTGTTTTAGTATTTCATCTCAGAAGTTCTCTGGAGAACATTGTGAGAGCTTAAAGAAACATTGTAGAACCTTTTAAAAACATAGAATGTTTAAAGAAGCTTTTTATTTGGAACAATTCTGAACATTCAGGGTCCTTTAGGAACCTCTACAAACATGAACAAACATTTATAAACAATGAAGAACCTTTTGGAACCTTAAAGATCCTCCAGAAATCAGAACCAGCCTTCAGAACATCTGTAAACGATAGAAACGGTGTGAGAGTGTGTGTGTGTGTGTGTGTGTGTGTGTGTGTGTGTGTGTGTGTGTGTGTGTGTGTGTGTGTGTGTGTGTGTGTGTGTGTGTGTGTGTGTGTGTGTGTGTGTGTGTGTGTGTGTGTGTTTGTTTCCCACACTCACAGCTTCATTATAATAACTATAAGCATGTGAAGAGTTCACTTCACAATGAGGACTTTATTCACTCTGAAGCTCCATCTGTCGCACGAATATCACAAATATTTATAAATATTTATGAACATTTAAATATTTAAATGTTCATAAATATTCAGGACCCTTTAGAGACTTCTTCTTCTCTCTTATGAACAAAACGAACTGATGATTAGTAACTCAAATATTCAAATAAATTGTTCTCATGTTTTTGGACTCATGAGAGAAATTAAGAATTTAATAAAGAGGAAAACATTTTAACAAGTTTTAATCTTATTATAAGAAACAAATTGATATTCAGTTCTGAAACAAAGATTATTTTTATTTTACAGATCTGAAGATTGTTTTTCATTGTTTCAGTTATTTTGAAAATAGAGACAGAAACAAACTGAATTAATAAAATATTATATATTTTATATTATAATGTGTGTGTGTTCTGCTCTTGAGTCACAGAGTGTGTGAAAGGTCAGAGGTCGTCTCTTCATGAAGCCCCTCCCCCCTACTCTGCATACGGGGGTCAGAGGTCAGAGGGGGGGGGGGGTGACGGAGACACATGTGTGTAAGTGGTCTCCCTGTTACCGTGGAGACGGACCGTCCGGAGGCGAGACAGCACCTGTCTGTCTGCTGGGGGGGGTCAATACACACAACAAGAGTCAGAGGCTCTTCTTCTGCTGCTGCTGCTGCCACATTCATTGAGTAGAAGAAGAAGAAGAATAGAAGTTCTCTGTTCAATAGCATTCAGACTCATAATATAAATTCATAAATAATAATAATAAACGTTTCTTACTCTTTAAGTTTCTATTTAAGAGTCAGAACTCTGCTGGACTACACAAGTACTACTACTGTATAATAGTACTACTACTGTATAACTCAGTGGTGGGTCATCAGGGCCTTCAAGGCCTTCTCTGCTGGCCTAAACAGAATCACAAAGTTATATCTATTTTATAATTTAATAATTTTTGCAAATGCAAAAAATGTCATAACTTCTTCCATATCTTTTAATTTGAACTCTTACTCCTCCGACTAAGCCTCTGATGGCTACTTTAAGTTTCGTTTCATGATAGTCATGTGCTCGCCCACTGACCAATCACAGCGCACGCTGCACCTCACTGCAGCGCTGCTCCTGAAAACTGAGCTGCACGTAATGCTGACGTAGTTGTAGGCCAGCTAGCAGCTCTGACACGTCAAAGAATACGCCCAACATGTCAAACTAAAGACCTGATTGGTTGAACACTATGACAATCAACAATATCGTCTCCATTCACTTAAACTGCACATGGATGCACTTGTGAGTCTGCAGGCCTCTGCCTCTGTTCTTACCTAGAGACACAGAGGTGAGATCTGATTGGATAAAAGCTCTACTTAAAACAAGCTGCACTGGAAGCAGAGCAACTGAGGAAGACAGTAGCTGTGCAATGAGAACATAAGATAATGGGAAAAATATGTTTATAAATTACAATACATGTAGTGTATTTAAGAAAAAATATTAAATTATAAAATAGATATAGCTTTGTGATTCTGTTTAGGCCAGCAGAGAAGGCTTTGCTGGTCCTGACGGACCACCACTGCAGTATGATATTACTACTACTGTAGGAGCCATTAGTTAGGTCTGGGTATTATAAATGTATATTGGGAGCCTACCTCAGGTTGACCACGGGTGGCAGTGTGGAGTATTGTGGCAGGTAATTAATATATGGAGCACAGGTGCAACTGACAGGTAATGAGGCATGGGTGACGGGGAGATCGCACGGTTTTTACCGCAAAACCAGACACACCAGAGGGAGACCAGGAAGATAAGTGATATCCTATTGTATTAACATCTGTGAACACTAATTGAACGGGAACCTCACCCAAAAGTGTGAAATGCCTGGAATCTCTTTGTTGTAGCGAGTAAGGAACAGGATCTTCTCCAGCACCAAGCCGAGTGGCTAGTTGCTGGAATCAGTCACTACAACTACAGTTAATACTACTGACAGTATGATGATTTGTGTCTGCAGCTCCTCCAGAGTTCGTGCAGTGGCCTCAGTCTGTGTCCAGACCAGCAGGTGGCAGCTCTGTCTTCAGCTGCACGGCTACCGGAGCTCCAGAGCCGCATCTCATCTGGCTGAAGAACGGGAAACTACTGACACCGAGCAGCAACATGAAGCTCACCAACGGAAACACGTGAGAACATCAACACACACATGGGAGGAGGAGGAGGAGGAGGAGGAGGAGGAGGAGGAGTAA